GGGCTGATGCCCTTAATGTCTCCAAGGCCCCAACCGATGGCCTTGTGATTCTTCTTTAGCACCTCGATCAGCTCCTTCTCTTCGTGTTGATTAAGCTCGGCAAATATGATAACCGGCTTTTGTTTCTCATCATCGAGGAAGACGTACTTGAGGTGACGAGGCAACTCTTTCAATTCTAGTGTTGATGGGACCTTCGATCTCGGTTCCTCGGCCTCCATTAGCTCAACAAACGGTTCTTCTTCCTCTTCGAGGTCGGGCAATGACCTCTCTTCCAAGTCTCGTATGGCAATCTCTTCCACAAACGGGTCACTCACATCAATAAAGGCGCATTCCTCCACATAGTTCGCCGAGGGGCCAGATGTGGCCTCTCGGACAGAGATAGACACGGACTCGCCTAGGACTGTCATGTTCAAGGTTCCGTTCTTGACATCAATGAGGGTGTTGGTGGTGGCCATAAACGGCCTGCCGAGAAGGATGGTATGGTCCTTCCCATTCTCGTGAACGTCTCCGACATCGAGCACTTACCACCGGAACGATGAGCTTTCCCACACGAACAAGGACATCCTCAACTACCCCCTTGGGGTATCTGATCGAACGGTCTGCGAGTTGAAGACACATGCGAGTGGGCCTCAAATCTCCTAAACCGAGCCGCTGGAAGATAGAAAACGGCATTAGGTTGATTCCCGCTCCGTGGTCAAGCATCCCCGAAGCCTCTTTTCCATTCCCAAGAGCAATCTTTATCACGAAGCCTCCGGGGTCCCGTTCTTTCTTCGGAAGATCATGCTGCATGGCACTCGCTGCCTCATAAACTACCACTTTCTCCCCATCTCCGAATTTCCTCTTCTTCGTGACCAAATCCTTGAAGAACTTCACGTAGGAAGGCATGTTTTTGATCACGTCTAAGAGAGGTAGGTTGACATTGACCTTTGAGAGCATGTTGTAGAGATCTCGAAACTGTTGCTCTTGCTTCTCGTCTCGGAGTCTACTCGGAAAGGGAATGCGTGGTTTGTAAGTATTTGGAGACTTGTGAAGCAAAGAACTCTCCGTTGGTTTCCCCGAGTTGTTTTCTGTGCTCTTCGTACTCTCCTCGGTTTCTTTGGGCTGGTCGGTTGGTTTGA